GATTTATTAATTTCTTACTCCTTCATTGAGAGAAGCCCACTGTGGATGGATAATAGCAGATTTGTACTTGTGTTGCTAGCTTCTCCCTTCATAATCTACTATCTGTGAAGGTGCTTTGGAAATTGTAAAATAAAATTATGGAGCTGTGGTCCACTACATTATTATCAACTCTTGAACAATTTATTACAGGGGGGATGTTTCTATTGTTAAAAAGATGACCAGGGTTTTTATTTTGTTATTAGGCATTCCAGGCAGCCAAAATCAGGCTGCAAGTATATTTTGTATTGAAGAGTAAACGACTTGATAAGCTATAAATTATTTGGTTTAGTATTACAAATATAATGAGAAAGGATTGTGTTTCTTAGCATAAAACTTTTAAGTCCATAATATATCATATTTTATACTCTGTCATAAATAGGGGAGAAAAAACCCACCCTATATCGAAGGAAATGAACATGACAACCTGGGAAAATGTTTGCAATGTATATGGCAAGAGATACATATTCCCAATAGAGAAAAAGGTCTGTAAAACAACAAGGATATGAATGGTCCAGTAAAACTCATGAACAGGCAATTCATAAGAAATTCAAATTGCCAGCAAATATAAAAAATGTTTAGAACTACCAGCAATCAAAGAAATGAAAATTAAAATAAATTTTTTTCTTCCCTTTCAAATTGACAAACATTAAGAGAATAAAATAGCCAATATTGAAGTTTGGTGACATATGGGCACTCTCATATACTGTTGTTTGAATATATATTGACTCACTTTTTCTGGGAGACAGTTGCCCATATGAATTAAGAACTTCAAAAATCTTTACACTGTTTTAGTAATTCCACTCCATAATCAGACAACACAAAGATTTATGTATGTGAATATTCACACTGTAGTGCTACATAAACAAATATATTTAAATGATATAATTGGAGGGCCATTAAATGAATAGTTTGTCTAAAGACCATTAAAAATCTGGGGTGCCTGGGTGGCTCACTGGTTGAGCATCTACCTTTGGCTCAAGTCATGATCCTGGAGTCCTGGGATTGAGTGCTCCTGGTGGGGAGCTGCTTTGCCCCCTGCCTGTGTCTCTGCTACTCTGTGTGTCTCTCATAAATAAACAAATAAAACATTAAAAAAAACTCTAATGAAGTCTTTAGAAATAAGTTATTCTGCAGAGTTTTCATGTTTGGTTGATTGAGAGGTTATGGTACAGTTAAAAGAAGTATGAAAGGAAGGAGAACACAGATGTAAGAGGAGGACATCACAAGAAGAGTGCCGGGCAGCAAGAAAGACCCTTATTCACTTCTAAAGCTCTGGGAGCTGCCTTTGCTTCTCACAGTTCCTCAAGGTAAATAACCAAATTAAATTCTAACAATAACCCAGGGTCATGCATATAAAGGTTTAGACCTTGCCATTCCTCTGTTCCTTCATAGTATATAAATCGAAGTCACAAGTAACATCGTTAAAGAAAGCTTTTTTTTACACACCACTTGACGCTTGTCTATTACATGTTTGCTCCTTCCCTCTTTTCCTTCCTTTCTCCCTCCCTTCCTTTCTTTTTAAAATATTTTATTTTTAAGTAATCTCTACATCCAATGTGGGGCTTGAACTCACAACCCCAAGATCAAGAGTCGCATGCTCCACCAACAGAGCCAGCCAGGTGCCCTGTTTTGCTCATTTCTGACTTTTCTGTTACTTGAGTTCTATTTTCAGAATAAAATTAAAATTTAAATAATTAAATACATACCCTTATGTTTACTGCTACCCCTATGTTTATTTACAAAAGCCAAGATATGGAAGCAACCCAAGTGTCCATTAATAGATGATCAGATAAAGCAGATGTGGTATATATAATGGAATATTACTCAAGCTTAAAAAAGATGAAATCTTGTCATTCAGAAACCATGGATGGACCTAGAGGGTATAATGCTAAGTGAGATAAGTCAGAGAAAGACATACCACATCATTTTACTTACATGTGAAATCCAAAAAATAAAACAAATTAAGAAACAACAAAGTAATAGAAACAGACTCATAAATACAGAGAGCAAATTTGTGGTTGCCAAGGGGGCAGAAGGTTGGGGGGGTGGGGTAGGCAAAATAGGTGAAGGGAATTAAGAGGTAAAAAATTTTGGTTATAAAATAAGTCACAGGGATGAAAAGCATAGTATAGGGCACAGAGTCAATAATATGATAATAACTACTTCAATCAAAAATAAAAAGTTAAATCAAAAGTGAGTGCAAACTCTATTTTTTTTTATTTATTTGAGAGAAAATGAGCAGGAGTGGGGGGGGGGCGGGGAGAGCAGAAGAGAGAGAAGCAGACTTCCCACTAAGCAGGGAACCAATGCAGAGCTCTATCCCAGGCCCCAGGATTATGACCTGAGCTGAAGGCAGACACTTAACCGACTGAGCTACCCAGGTGACCCTATTTATTTATTTCTAAGAAACTATCATTTAAAGTTGGATTACCTATAAGAAACTGCATCTTAATTCTTAAATTTTAGTGATTGCTGATATTTAAAATGCAAACATTTAATACTGTAATTTATGTAACAATTTCAGTTATAAAATATTTTAGTGGATAAATTTTGACAGTCAGAAAGAGCAAGATATTTTGACTCTTTAATTTTAACCCTTGCCATTGAATCTTGGAGGATTTCACCCAGGGGATATTTGAAACTTGCCATTGGCCATTGTTCTACTAACATTTTATGCAGAGGGCAGAATGATTGAAAGTGTTTATATAAAACTTAGATTCAGATATAGTCAAAAAATCATGGACAATAAAAGATTCTTGAAATATCTGAGGGTGTATTATATTTCTCATAATCTGCTAAATCAGAGATGACACACTGGTGTTCAGCAAGTGGATTACAGGCCAGGTGTGAGATACTGACTCCCCCATATCGTCAGAGCAGTGAGACAGTGGCCTGGGTTTTAGGAACCCTGGTTGGTCTCCTGACATCCACTATCTGAGAAGCACCAGAGAAGCCAGCTGCAGAGAACATGGGTCAGCACATTATGTACAAAGAGCCCATGGAGCTTACTAGGGAAAGTTGTCTTTCAGGTGCTCAAGAATAAAATAACCAGTCTGAGGCCATATCAGGGGTAGGGGTAGGTAAGGAAGGAGGAGGTCTGCAAGAATGCTACCACAAAGAAAACTCACAAATCAATAAAATTTGATGTGGACAAGAGAATTTATCAATGAACCAACACGTTGTTCATAAAAAAAAAATAGATACTAACAAAAGTAATTTCAGTAAAATCAGAGTAGAAGAATAAAGAAGTGGTTTACTTGCCCTTTTAAAGAAAATTGATCGAGGAATTAGACTAACTTGATAGTGTAACATCAGGTTAATATTTTCTTTTTTTTTAAGATTTTATTTATTTATTCATGAGAGACACAGAGAGAGAGAGAGAGAGAGAAAGAGAGAGAGGCAGAGACACAGAGGGAGAAACAGACTCCATGCAGGGAGCCCGATGCGGGACTCGATCCCGGGACTCCAGGATCACACTCTGCGCCAAAGGCAGGCGCCAAACCGTTGAGCCACCCAGGGATCCCCCAGGTTAATATTTTATTTTTTTTAATTTTATTTATTTATTTATTTATTTATTTATTTATTTATTTATTTATTTATTTATTTATTTTTAGGTTAATATTTTCTTGATCAATTTCTTCTCTAGTAGGAAAATTATGGTTGGAATGTGTGTATTTATAAATAAAAATTAGGGAATCAAAACAAGGTCAAATGGGGAGTAGAAAGTCCACTGTCACTTTGCCATCTGTAGGATGGGAAAGAATTAAGGGACAGAGTCTCTTACCCCTTTCCACCAGCATCTTTACTGAAGACGCTGCCGGACTCGTAACACAATATATCTCAGTTCAGTAAGCTGTGTAGGCATTGACTCTCATCAACTCCTCTCTTCCTTAGAATGACCCTGATGCTATTCATAAAACAAGTCTAACGTTTGAAGTTCTAGTCCCATTTTGACTGTCCTTAGATTCAGTTTTTAAGGTCTCTTAACCCACTATTCCCATCTGTCCATCAAATCCCCACACCCAATCAGAAGATGAGTCAGTTCATTTGTATTCACAATCTATCCACAGGACAACCTCTGTTTCCTGCCTCCTGCTCCTCACTCACCCATTGTTTCATCAAGCCCAGGGTTGCAGGGGTAAGAGCAGATAGGGTGAATGAAAACAGATGGGGTGATGGAGGTACCAGAGGGAACCAGCAAGCAGAAATTGATTGGAGATACCCCCTACCATTTTTTTTAAAACCAGAAGGCAATGGAATAAAAGTATTTGTTTGCACATATTCTTTTTTAACCATGGACTTTTCTTACTCTTCATTTGTATTCTAAAACAAAGTATTTTACTTCACTGAGATTACAATGAAAGATCATTTTTTTGAAACGAGAACTGACAGTGTAGATTTGGTAACAGTTGTCACACTGTTTATAGGCATCATGATAATGAGGCCCATTCCACTGCCTTATACATGGTTGTAAAGTAGAATTGAGATTTTGGTTTATCCTTACATTCATCCTCACATTTATACTGTTTACTGTCTTACAGACACACTCTTTTCTGAACACCAGGATGCAGTTCAGCCTGGTACATATAAGGGGTCACCAATCATTTAATAAGCAAATGAGGAAATGGACATGACTGACCATCATTTTATTTTGGGTGTCTATATTGTGGGTTTATATTTACTCATACAGATTGGTAAATGTGGGAAAACAGCATCAAATCCAGATGAGAACAAGACCCCTTAGCCTCTTGAGATCTTTTTTTTTTTTTTTTTTTACTCTTTCTTGTTTAGAAGATAGTTTGAAAGTGTCTTCCTTATTAGATGGTAGTTTTCACAATGGAAAGTGACTCAAAATGAAGTCTCAGTTCAAGCCCTCTTTTTTTTTTTTAAGTCTTACCCAAAAGGAAGTGAGTATGAAGTAAATTGCATAAACTTAAAGCACCACAGAGATGAAGCCCGAAGCAGGAAGAAACATGCTACCGATGTCCCAGAAGGGAACACATTGTATCATGTGAAGAGACATGACAAAAACAGCCCTCTTTAAATTACTTTTGGCAATAGTGGTCACATTCATTTTAATTTTGCCAGAATATTTTAAGACATCAAAAGGTGAGTATGTAATTATAATTTATCTTTTCTTTTTCTAATTTTTAAAAATTATGATAGCTAATGGTTACAGGAAAGGTCTTTTTGGACACATGCTGCATGAGCTGAAGCTCTATGTCTGAAAAGTTAGGAAAATGAGATTGTAATTTTAGCTGTTAGAGAGCACAGTAACCTTATTCACAGTACGTAATTATTGTGGCACACAATAATGAGATAAAAAATGAAGAGAACTATTTAAACTCTATAGATTTTAAACGTTAATTTACATTAATTTTATCACATGATTTTGCTCTTTGAAGGAGTTTCCTTCAAAACAGTGTTAAGTATACTTTTACATTCTGGAATTATTTTATAAAGCAAGTAATATTTATTATGTTAAAATGCGTGATTTCCCTCCATCACAGCTATTTCACACAAATAACTCACTATTGCCTTTTGACAAATAAGAGTATTGAAAAATACAATTAAAATAAGATGAGTGAAAATTTCAGCAGGTGTGTGTACGTGGATTCGTAACTGATGAAAAAAATGAACTCTATGGATAATTCAGGGACTTGTGATCTGATTGCTGAAGCCTAGGATAAGAAAACAAGTAAATGTAAACTATTTTTAATTGTTTTGAAAATATATTAATATGACTGTTTAGATGATCACTGTGCTCCTCAGCATTTAATAAGAAAAAAGGATAAAAAGAAAGTGCTGTATTCTATCATTAAAGTTACATGAATTTGCTTAAAATCAGGGAAAAGCTTATTTTTGAGACTTGCTGGGGTGATTATGGTTGCATATACATGGCATTAAGTGGCCAGAGAACAATATTTTACTAAATAAACACTATGTGCAATTTTGTGAATGACTGGATTTTTCAAATTTTTCTTGCTTTTCTGGCATTCTGTTGCTTAGGTTAAACAATCATAACATGTGTTTTAAATTTTTGATTCCACTCAGTGAAAATATAAAGAGAATAGTTAGAATTGGAATAGAGATAACATATTTCAATTTTTAAGCTTTTTGTGGTGGAGAGTAAGCTCATTTAATAGTATCTAAGGTAGGCCATAAAGGTGCACCTTGTACTTCCAAAAAGGCAGGTTCATCTAATGAAAACCAGGTAATCAGCCTTTCATAAACTGTTTGCTGTCGGTTAGTGTTTTATAAGACCTGGTGATTGCTAGACAGTAATCAACCATCAATGATTTTTGTTTTCTTACTTTCATAACTGATTACATCAGCTCTCAATACTCCCTGTATTGCCTCCCCAAACTGAAAATGGCCATTTCTCTTTTCCTGGTCCAAGAATAGCATAGATATTTCCTTGGACGTTTTGGGGGGATGGATTTACTTAGGAATTTTGTTTCAAAGGGACCCTCCCTGGGGCCAACAAACAAAAATGTTTGTAAACCATCATCTTAATCCTGATGTCATGTTGTGGTAGAAGGAATTTTGCACAGAGCCACCATCAATGAAAGGTCGATGGTTGAGCAAAATATTTTACACATGCAATAGTGCAATAATAATACTTTATATTTTACAATGGCTTATGGATCACCAGGAACAAGTTCATATAGCCTCACCTTATATAGTTTAATATAGATTCAACTAAGGGCACATATCGTTTCACTTTTTCTCAGTACTTTTTTTTTTAAAGATTTTATTTATTTATTCATGACAGACACAGAGAGAGAGAGAGAGAGAGAGGCAGAGACACAGGCAGAGACACAGGCAGAGGGAGAAGCAGTTTCCATGCAGGGAGCCCGACGTGGGACTCAATCCCGGGTCTCCAGGATCACACCCCAGGCTGAAGGCGCCCCTAAACCGCTGGGCCACTGGGGCTGCCCCTCTCAGTACTTTTTAAATCACAATAATAGTTGCCTCATGAAGTGAGTTGACTTATCAACTATTATATTTCATAAAATAAAATATATGGTAAAATTATTTATATGATAAGCTAAGAGTGTTCAAGAAGTGCTAAAATTAACCGTGAGACTCTCCCTATCAGTTACTTGGGTTTTTTTTTTTTTTCAGTTTTTTCTTATAGTCTATTCACTTTAATTTCTAAGATAAATATTATAAAATGATTTTTACTTATAAATTATTCACAGATACTGTGTTGTTAAGATATCAAATTAATTCAGAAGGAATCTTAATGAGGAATAATGTATTCACGAAGTTTAATAGATTTGATTTCAAAATAATAAACCCTCTGAAGGCCTAAGTTAAAAATAGAGAACCGTGTTTGATCATTTTTCATCAAGAATGTATCTGAGACCCTGAATAATCATTACTCGGAATATTCAATTATCATAATTACACAGTATAAGCTATCTAGTCTAACTTCGCCAAAGAAGAGAAACTTCTTCAATGGTGTTTTGGACTTTTAATGAGTTTGCATTGAGCATGCACTGGCAAGAAAAACCACTTTAATACTTTCAGTTTATTTGAAAGGCAGCTTATCCTAAGATACAGTAGTTAATATAATGATTTGATACACGCATATTGCATATAGATAATAGAGATAGAAAAGGGAATGCATATATTTTGATTCAGAACTGCTTGCAATTAAGGGAGCCTGGGTAGCCCCAAACAAGAGACTTCACCAACCTTTTATTGAATTTACAGTGTTTAAGAGAGAACTGGTTAACTCCTATAAATCTCAGAGATCTTTTATTTATTTATTGAAACTTCCACTTATGAATAGTGCCTACCTGTGCTCGCTTTGGCCCATATACTGATATTGAAATGAATAGTGTCTACCTGTACCAGGAACCCAGGGCCACAGAAACAAAAGGCAATTCTTCTTTCAAGGAGTTTTCAGTTAGGGGGATGCCTGACTGATAAATAATTAAATATAATACTGTAATTACTAAAATAGCAATGTAAAAAGTGTGATGGGAACATAAAAGTTGCTTCCATTCCTGTCTGGGGTAGATGTTCCTTCCATTTTTGTTGCAAAGAAAAACCACTGGCACAGTTCTAATGATCAGCTAATATTTCTCCTTACCTGCTTGCAGAAGCACTTTCTAAGAGCAGTAATTATTGTTGATTTTCAAATAAAATGTACTCATCTAAATATCTCAGAAGTTCTGGAAACCAGAAACTGTAGTGAGTTATACAAGTGCCTTACTGATACTGAGGCAAGGCAAGACAGGAATAGCAGAGATGAAAATACCTGAAACCTAATTTTATCTAGCTGTCTGACTTCCTCACTTACATTTAAGAACCAAACTGACATAAACCATGTTTACCAGCTTTCATTTCCCCCTTGCATTTCACACTTTTTGATGGAAATGGTAGTATAATGGTCAGTGAACTTTAAGAAAACAATGGATAAAAGAACTTTACTCATGAACTATAGGATAAACCCTGAAGTATATGAGCCTATGTACACTTTACTCAGGTCTGTATGATAAAGAAGAGTGTTATCAAGGGTAACTGCAACTAATTTGCCTGAAAGGATTATTTTAGTTCTTAGAGATGGGCACTTTATTTCCCTCCTATTGACTGGCTCATTAAAAAGTTAATCAGTAATTCCCAGTGAGGTCTGGGAAAGAGACTAGTGACTTAAAAAAAAAAAAAAGATTTTTTTTATTTATTTGAGAGAGTAGAGAGAGAGGGAAAGAGAGAGAGCGGCGTTTATGACCAAACATGGGTGGGGGAAGGGGCAGAAGGAGAGAGAGAATCTCAGGTAGACTCCTTGCCTACCTCAGAGCCTGTTGGGAGGCTTGATCTTACTACCCTGAGATCATGAGCTGAGCAGAGATCATGACCTGGGCCAAAATCAAGAGTTGAAGAGCCCAAATCAAAAGTTGGATGCTTAACCAACTGAGCTACCCAGGCACCCCTAAAAAAGTTTTAAAAATATAATACTTACACATGTACCAGGTACCATACCAAGTACTTTTACATATAAAAGTTTTTTTAAAAAATATTTTATTTATTTATTCATGAGAAACACACACGGAGAGAGAGGCAGAGACAAAGGCAAAGGGAGAAGCAGGTTTCCCATGGGGAACCCAATGTGGAACTCCAACCCAGGACCCCAGGATCATGACCTGAGCCAAGGGCAGTTGCTCAACCACTGAGCCATTCAGGCATCCCATGTCTCATTACAACACATTAAATATTTCAAATCATTCATGGTGAAGCATCATTCTGAAGAGTGACTTTTCTTGAAATATTCAGAGAGAAGGAATAAAATTAGATGGATAGATTTACTTTGTTGTAACATTTTTTTTCTTATGGAATTTTCTGAATCTTTGTAGCATGGAAATGGATAATAATCAATACAATATGTTTACTTATATTTTTAGACAATAGGTGCTGGTTAAAAAAAAAAAGGATATTGATGAATATAATGCTTTCCACTGCTTTCTTTTTTTTTTTTTCCACTTTCACAGAACTGTTTTATTCTCTCCTCTCTTAGATTATATACCAGCAACCCTTGCTTGGGATGCTTTTGCTATCAGCTTGTCTTACTGCATTGGTAGATAAATGCTCTCTCTGTATATCTTTTTTGTTTTTATAGAAAAAACAACTTTCTTTAAAACAGCATGTGGTGATATATCTTACCCCTATACTGCTCTGTTTCTTTTCTCCATAGCACTTATACCCTATATAACTGACTTATTTATTATATATACTTCTTATTTCTCCAAATAGAATGTAAGCTCGTTGGAAATGAGATTTTTGTCTATTTGGTCATATTTTAAGCACTCAGGACAGTACATGTCACATTAGGAGGAACTCACTAAGTATTTGTTGATTGAGTGAATTTTCTGAGTCATATTGTAAAGGAGATAAAAGGGAAACATATTTAAAGGAAGCATTTTTTGGCTGATCCTCACAACCACCTTCTGATTCAGGCAGACCAGGCATTATTATCTTCATGTTACACTTTTGAAACAAAATTTTACTGCACACCTAGAATTTTTAGGGTCCTAGGATTGAGACGTGCCTCTAGCTTCTAGTTCAGTGGAGTGGAGAGTCTGCTTATCCCTCTGCCCCTC